TAGAGTTTACAAAAGAGGAACTACAGTCGGTACCTATTTGGAACAAATTACCAAGGTTAGATTTCAAGTACTGGAGCAGGAAAGGGTTAAGTAAGATTGGCAGCTTGATAGGACGACCTTTAATGGTGGATCATAACATTGAGGAAATGAATGGTCTAAACTTTGCTAGACTATTGGTTGAGGTAGAAATGGGAGCACAATTACCGGATGAGGTGAAGTTTAAGAATGAAAAAGGAAAAGTGATTGAGAAACCAATGCAATATGATTGGAAGCCAACACTGTGTAGGTTCTACAAGAATTATGGACATGTGGAGGAGGAATGCAGAGTGAAGAGGAAAGTGCAAAACCCTAACCAAGTACCTCACATGGAAAGGCTAGTGGGAGATCATACAAAGCAGAAACAAGTGCAAGAGGGTAACCAATAACTTAGACTAACAGTTGTAGTAGTACCACAACAAATAGCACGAGGACGGACTATTATTAACAAAGAGGGATGGAAAACACCTGTAAGAGTAGGGAAGACAACTACCAAGACACCACCAAAGCAGGATTCTCGGATAGAGAATGTGAATTCATTTCAATTGTTGCAAAAGAGGATTGAAAAGGAAGGCAGTAGAAGTAATGTGGGAGGACAAACAATTGAATATCTGGAAATGGTTAACCTACTTAGCTGGAATGTAAGGGGGCTTAATGCTCCTAATAAGCAAAAGGAGGTTAAACTCATTTGCGATGAGGAAAGGATAAATTTGATAGGTCTACTAGAAAGAAAAAAAAAAGAGTGGAAGGATAGGAAAACTGGCTGAAAGTATGTTTGCAGGATGTCAGTACACTACCAACTTGGAAAACCATTATAATAATAGGATATGGCTTACTTGGAGACATGATTACTACCAAGTAAACCCCATAAGCAAGACAGCTCAACAGATTACATGTGAGGTAATGTTCTTACCTTTCCAAATTGCATTCGAGATTTCCTATGTAAGGAAGATAGGAAAGAGTTGTGGGAAAGTTAGGAAAGAGTTGTGGGAAAGTTTGTTGATTCAGAGTAGAAGATGCTCTAAGCCATGGATGGTGCTTGGAGATTCCAATTCAATTATGAAAGCTGATGATAGAATAGGTGGGAATCATGAAAGTTGGTCAGAAATAGTAGACTTTCATGAATGCGTGACAGATTGTGGATTGCTGGAATTTCCTACTCAGGGGAATAGGTATAGAATAGGTATACCTGGAGTGATAAACATAATGGGAACAAGATTTTTTCAAAAACTGACTGGATTTTTATTAATAATGAATAGGGCTGGGCATTCGATAATTCGGTTTGGTTTCGGGTTTTTTTGGTTTTTTCAATTTTTTATTCTTGTACCATGTGTACCGAACACCGAACCAAATTATTTGGGTTCGATTCAATTTTTATTATTTCGATTCGATTTATGTTATTTTGGTTCAATTTTGTTAGTTCAATTTTTGAAGAAATAATCAAAATAATCAAATGGATGAAGATATCTTGAGGTTGCTCCAATGGTCGCCGGTTGTTGCTGCTGGAGTGCTGCTCCGATGATCGGTTGTCGGCTGATGTTGGTCGGCTGGAGGCTGATGCTGGTTAGCTGGCGGCTGCGGTTGGTTGGTTGGTTGCTACCTGCTGGCCCTCTGCTGGTTGGTCGGTTGTTGGTTGACGCGACGACGCTGGAAGTGGTAAAGCGTTAAGGCTTAAGGGACGGTGAAAGGCTGAAAGCGGAGCCTAAGAAAAATGAAAACTAAAGTGAAAAATGAAGGTGGTCACTGGTCACTGACCTAATTCAAAAATATGCATAAATTTATTATTTAATAATAATTAATATAATATAAATATATTAATATAATATATTTCGGTAAATTGAAATATCGAATAATACAAAAGTCACGTACCGAAAACCGAATCGAAATACTGAAAAGTTCAAAAGTTTATACCGAATACCGAATCGAAACCGAAATACCAAAAAAATTTGGTTCGATTCGGTATTTCGGTTTTTCGATATTTATGCCCATCCCTAATAATAAATGATTGGACACAATGCCCTTGTTTCTACCTAAAGGTATTAGTAATCACTACCTTGCAAAAGTTATCCTCAGTGAAAATTGTAAGATCAAGAAGTCATTTTAGTTCTGTAATGTGTGGACTAAGCACCCACAATTTCAGGATAGTGTGAGGGAAGGATGGCATAAAAATATAGAATGATGTATGATGTTTCAGGTGGTGAGAAAACTAAAATTGTTGAAGAAGAAGTTGAATGAGCTACATTTACAAGATTTTCAGAACATTGTAGTTGAGGCAAATGTGGACAGGGAGAAACTAAAGCAAGAACAAAAGCAACTGTAGACAAGCCCAAATAATCTTGAGTACCAGCAACTTGAAAGCCAGGCTTATCAGAAGTTTAAGAAGTCTTCCTACTTGGCTGAAATATTTCTCCAACAGAGAAGTAAATCAACATGGATTAGACTAAGCGATAGCAATATAAAGTACTTGTATTCAGTCATAAAACATAGAAAATTGAAGCATGACACTACACAATTAAAGAACAACTCTGGAGTATGGCAAAATGATCATGCAATTATTTCCAATATAATTGTGGAATATTATAAGGACATTTTAGGGAACATAACACAACATAGAGTACAGGAAGTAAGGGCCATAATATGCCAAAGGACTAAACTTACAAAGGACCAGAGGGAATTGCTATACAGTTTTGATCCAAGTGAGGTGAAAAAGGCTATGTATTAGATTGACAGTAATAAGAGCCCAGGACCAGATGGTTTTGTTAATGAGTTGTATAAAGCATCTTGGTCAATTGTTGGACAAGATGTCACAAATGCAGTACTTTATTTTTTTTTGAAAACAACAAATTACTGAGACAAATAAACTCCAATAGAATTGCACTCATTCCGAAAGTGGAGGTACCTGAATATGCTTGTCAATTCATGCCTATATCTTTTTGTAATGTTCTATATAAATGTATTTATAAACTAATATGTTGTAGACCGAAGAAGGCAATTAGTTGCATTGTTACAAAAAATCAATCAGCCTTTATGCAGTGGAGATCAATGATGCATAATGTCCTGATATGCCATGACCACTTGAGACACTACAATAGTAAAAGTGTATCTCCTAGATGTCTCATGAAGATAGACCTGAAAAAAACTTATAATGTGGTGAGCTGGGATTTTTTAGAAGAAGTACTAACTGGTTTTGGATTCGCTAAAGTGTTTATTAAATGGATTATGTTGTGTGTATCTACAACCATGTTCTCAATGAAAGTTAATGGGGAGAACCATGGGTTCTTTGTTGGGAGGAGAGGGCTTAGACAAGGAGATCTTGTCTCTTCTTTACTATTTGTATTAGTGATTGAATATTTATCAAGAACACTCTAAAACATGAGCATGCTGCCAGATTTCAAGTACCATCCAATGTGTAAGAAGGTGCAGCTTACTCACCTGATTTTTGCTGATGATCTGATGATATTTTGTAAGGGTAATTTGGCTTCTATGAATAGAGTAATGGAGGCATTAGCACATTTCAGTGTTGCTATAAGATTGGAGGAAAATATGGAAAAATCTAGTGTATTTCTAGCTGGGGTGGATGAGGATACAAAGACTCAGATTCTTGAAAGAACTTGATTTTCACTTGGAGAATTCCCTATAAGGTATCTTGGACTTTCCTTATCTCCCAAGAAGTGAAAACAAATTGATTGTTGTTCCCTGATTGTCAAGATTACCCAGAGGATTAAAGTGACATATTCCAAGACACTCTCATATGCTGGTAGATTGCAAGTGATAAATGCAGTATTTTCCATACACGGCTTCTGGGGGGCAGTTTTTATCCTCTCCCAAAGTATACTAAAGGGAATAGATAAGTTATGCAGGGATTACTTGTGGGAGAGTTCTGATGAGAAGAAAAAAATTGCTTTGGTCTCTTGGGATAATGTTTGTTATCCAAATATTTTTTTACAATTACAACTTATCTTAAGAAACAAATTTAAAGTACATATCTATTAAATGATAATAAAGTAGCACAACTCATTTAAAATTTTTTACAAGTTCTTCAATTCCTTTAGAATTCTCTTCGACTCCTGAAAGTGCAAATGGAGAGCAAGCACAAATTTAACATTAGAAAGACTAACAAAAAACACAAATCATATATAGCAAAAACACTCTTTCTTCACACACAAAAAAATTGGCATAAAATGGCTTAATTACATTACAAAACTACACAACCTTGAAGGGAGGTTAAGAAACCAAACATACGGATAAACCTATCAAAACATAGTTTTACATTTGAGAATGCAACTACATATATTATTATAATTGTATTCTACGAGGTTTCATATCTTGAAATGTCATAATAATAACATCTTTAGAAATATTATCAAATACATCTTTTTATAAATAAGGTACCAAACAACCACTAAAAAAATTATCACTCATTTGACTCCGCAAATCATTCTAGATAAACTTCATTGTCGAAAAAACTCTTTCAACGGAGGCAGTGGCAACTGGTAAAAGTAGAGCAAGTTTCACTAAGCGAAATACAAGAAGATAATTTGAATGTTTCTTGTCTGAACTAATCTTTTGAAAATATCACAAAGGCCATTTAGATCGGAGAACCTTTCATCAACATCACGAACATCAACAATGTAACTTGCAAGTTGATTCTCGAGAATACTCATATTGGATTCATCAAAGTCATCTGAATATAATTCAATCATTCTCATTACTTTTCTTATGTCAAAACATGAAAATGAGTTAATTGGATTCAAACAAGCAATTTCATGGAGCAAATTGGTAGTCACTTCATCGAAACGATCATTAAGTTCTTGAAGTTGCCAATCAATGATATTGCAAAATACTTCAACATGATAATGATGTAAGATTGTATAGTTAGCAAGTTTCCATCGTGATCTTAAAGAGCTAACATATGGCTCCTCAAAGTTAGGTATCAAAACATCATGTTTGATACAAAATGTAGATACCTTGGCAATAAGAGAATCTCATTCATCATCTCTTAAACTTACAACCTTCTCTTTGCTACTTCAACAAGTAGCATGACATTTGCAATATCTTGCTATTTTTTAAGCATTTATTAAGCACATTTGTGATTGCTAAGACATCTCTCATCAAATGCAACATAAACGCAATCTCAAATGTTCGACAAGCTTCAAGATGTCCCATTCCCTTGGCTCCTTCATCCATACTCCTTGCATCAAGAGCAAGTGATTCAAGAACCTAAAGAATAGAGCCAAACATAATAATAAAACTATTAAAGGATTTATAATGAGATCCTCAACGAGTATCACAAGTTCTTGAAAGATCAAGTTGTTGATTCAAGCCCTTACCGGTTGTAAGTTCACCCATATCTAATGCCACTTGAATTTTTTATTTTTGAGAATCTCGTAAATTATTCATACGCTTAAAAGAAGATCCCAATATATTGAAAATATTTGAGATCAATACTATAAGTTTTCCCACTTCAACACACTTTTTAGAGACCCCAACAAGAGTTAGTTGAAGTTGATGAGCAAAGCAGTGGATGAAATGAACTAATTTACTTTCCCGTCTAATCAACATTTTAAGGCCATTGATCTCACCTTGCATATTACTTGCCCCATCGTAACATTGTCCACGCACACTTGATGGACTATAAGAATGTTGAGCAAGTAAATTAAAAATTTCCTCCTTTAAAGATGAAGCACTAGTATCTTGAACATGAACAATGTCAATAAGTCACTCCATTACAAATCCCATTCTATCAATATATTGAAATGAAAATTAGAAAGACAAATACATTAAAGTGAAATGCTTAAATGGACGGAGAAACGTCCTAAGAACCAAATCAAACAATTTGTCATATCAGAAGAATTGAATAATATAATTTGTCATGTCTATAATTAAGTCTCTTTTCAACAGCAAAACAAAAAAAAACATACAACAATTTCTTAAAAGTAGTAAGATCTAACTTGGCATTTTAAGCTCTTTCTACTTATACTCACACACAGAACTACATAACAAATACATCTAAATTTCTAATCCTTAAAATATACCACAAATCAATTCTTAAAAAATGATCAACAAACATATAAAACCATATTTTATTTGCAGAGAACGAGATGACTAATACTCGAACACAACCATGCATATCACAACACCAATCATACGTAGAGTAACTTCTAATATGCATTAAAGTTTCTGCTGTAAATTTAAACAAAATCATAGGCGCATTTGAACCAAGTCGAATCAGTTTTGGCCTAATAAATACTTGAAGATATAATCTGCAAGTCGGAACAAAATTATCATGTAGTTGTAAAGCAAAATTTGGAATAGCATATATCTATAATGGGGCACAAATACTGGCAAACAAAGTCATGTACTTTAACTCAACTGAAGAAGCATACATTTTCACTAATAACTCGTCAGAATAAGCTTTCCTAAAGGACTAGACATGATCTGAGCAGCATGGACATTATCACTTACACATACAAGCATCAGGGCCGGCTATATGTATACAAAAATAAGACATTGGCCTTAGGCCCCCAATTTTAGGGGGCCTCAATTTTTTACCAAGAATAAATTATGTGTTAATTTTTTAAAGAAAAACATTAATTAATTATGATAAAAAGTATATATTTAAAATTATTATTTTATTCTCTTCAACCCAATTCAAATAGAAAAAATCAAGAAAATATTATTTTATTTTCTTACACTCTCTCTACTAATACTCACATTATTTTCTTTTTAACTCCTTTTACACTCTCTTCTTTAAATTGTTGATAAGTTAGAGTAATATTCTGTCAAAAATATCAATTAATAGTCGAAAAGTGTTGAACAAATTGAATTGTAAATTCTTTTTCCATTTCTTCTTAGATTTTCAAGCATTACAACAACCATAGTAAAATGTGGGGTAACCAAATTATCAACTTCATCAAAGCTATGGTTCTAACTCTTATATTTATTTGAAATTTGTCAACTTATTACTTGTAGAACTATGTTAACAATTCATATAATGATTGCCCGAGTAAAATAATATTTTTCAACGTTGAATTAATAAAATCTTATTTAAAACTAATAATTGAAAAAGAAATCGAATAAATCATTTATATATATAAAAAAAATATTAGGTAATACTTTGCATTTAAAAATGTAAGAAAAATAAATTTTAAATAAATGCATGTGAAGTTTATTTAGATTTTAGGCCTCTAATTAAGATTTCGCTTTAGGCCTCCGATTACGTTGAGCCGCCCCTGACAAGCATACACTAAATATATTAATGACAAATTTACTTACAAATTGTTCCTATCTGTTAGAGCTAGCTACTTTCAATTTAAGAGTGCAGGAGAACAATCAAATATAATGTAAATTATGAATAATTACAGCAATGCTTTCCAGAGAAAATCAAAACAAAGTGTTAAATATATACATCCTAAGGCTGACTTCGTTTTTTTTATAACGAATGAACTTAAAACAACCTTTTTTAATAAATCATAATCATATAAGAGAACTCTCATATGAAGAAAGATCTTAAATCCTACACCCAAACAAGTTGCAACACACTCTCAAAACGGAAAGAAACACTACTTTTAAGATCGTATATACATAAATAAATAAATTTCTTAAAACAATCAGATTTAAAGGTCACCTGTTTTGGGGCAGCGAACTGGGCGTTTTTTATCAAGAATCTACCCTCGTTTCTCCAATAAAGTCAAACAAAACAGAAAGTAAAGTAGGAGATATTGAAATGTAAAAAAGTGGTATTCTTTTGAATGTTCAAGTCTTTTTCGTGATCCCTTTTGCCAGCCAAAACCGTCTCTTCAACTGAAGATATATAGGAGTATTTATAGAAAAAAATAAAATAAAAATCAGAGCTTAGAGTTTGAGCGGGATTTATTTTGAATTTCAAATTTGTCTTGGTTGGAGAAAAATCATATGAAGATCTTGGACTCCGTAAATCAAGTTATTTTAATAGTGAACTTCTGCCCCAAAGAATCAAAAATCAAAGAGTTATTTGGCTTCTTGTGTTGACTAAATTGTTGAATATGAGTGAGAAGGAAATTTTGAACGTTAGGATATGCTAGAACATAGTGAATGGATGAAATTTGCTCAAAAAGGTTGGACAAAGACTATCCACAGTTATGGTGCTACCTACCATGGTTGAAAATGGAATGAGGGGTGGGGTATGGCTGCCAGTGGCGGACCCAGGATTTTCGTTCAGCGGGTTGGGAAAATAAAAGTATTAACGTGTAAATAAGCCAACAAAACAAAATTTCAAGGAAGTAGTAGTATATAGTTTTAGTGGCGGATCATTGCATTCTTTTGGGTTTAACACCACATTTTAGCATGTTTTATATAAGAAAAAAAACTAAAAAAACGTGAAAACCTGAACTGGAACTAAAAAAATAAAACTGAAACTAAAAAGTAAAAAATAAAACGCTAACCCAAGGATTCAAACCCTTGACGTCAGGTTTAATTTTAGAGGAAGCGGCCGCTGGGCTATCTCTTTCACCTTGTCATTAAGGGGGTTCAAAATATATATACATAAATCCAGAAAATTTACCTTATATATACAGTGCAATTTTTTATTGAGGGGGTTCGGGTGAACCCCTTGGACGACACGTGGGTCCGCCCCTGATGGCTGCTAGAGTTTATCAATAGGGTTAAATTGACATGTTAGAGGAAATGGGTCTGTTCAATTGAGTAGTTGGGCTGCTACACTTTGAGCAAAAACTGGGCCGAGATGTGCTGCATTTGGATAGCCAAATTGCTGAATATTTTAAACTTGTAAATGAGCTGGAACATAGCTAAATTGCTGGAGCATTTTAGGCCTTTTTTCTTCTTTAAATTAATTTATTTGAGCTTCTAACTTAATAGCTAAAACCATAAATATGATACTATAAGATGACAAATACTAATTTACAAAATAAAATTATAATTCGTTGGTCGTTATTTCATGCGAGTTAAAGCAAAATGCAAAGTAGTGAACACAATTGAGAAAATATTGTGAGCAAAAATATAATTCTATTTTCATGTTAATAATCGATCATTACATCAATGAAACTGCATAAAATTGCAGAAAAATTCAAAAATCAGCAACTAAATTGAACTATAGTTCTCTGTTTTCAACAATTGTTGTGCAGAAAATAACTTAAACTACAACAAAAATAGCAGCTATCAAACTTTGATCGAATTGCAGCACCAGAACACCCAAAAAACCAGCAGAAAACTGCTTAATCAGCACCAAACTATACATAACACATCACTAGACAGCAGTATCAAACCACCAAAAAATCACCACCAAACTACTGCATCAGACTACCAAAAATCAGCACCAAACTGCACAAAAACAGCTTCCAAAACGTCACCAAACTGCTGCACACACAGCTCCAAAAACGTCACCAAACTGCTGCACAAACAGCAGCACCAACCACCAAACACCAGCACCAAACACCAAAAACCAGCACCAAACTGCATAAAACACAGCTCCAAAAAAGTCACCAAACTGCTGCACAGACAGCAGCACCCAACCACCAAAAATCAGCACCAAGGCGCACAAAAACTAGCATAGAAACTGCGACAAACTGCACCAAAAAACATCACCAAGCTACCCTAAGCTGCACAAAAACATCAAAAAACACTACAATGATCAGGTAAAGAAAATAACATAAAACAACAAAAAAACAACTAATCACATAAAATTATCACTCAAATGTAAATTTAGCACCATAAGTCAAATGTCACCAAACTACATCAATCACGAGAGCACGTCACTTTGTTGAGTTGAAATTAGCTTGACTCTCTGCAGCTCTTCTAACCTGTGAAGTATAATGAATTAGTGGAAGCGTTTACACAAATTTTAATATAATAAAGTAAGTGAAATACGCTATAGATAAAAAAAAAGTACTGGTAGTTTTGTAGGAGAACATGATGAAGATGATTCATGATATAGCGGAGACACATTTTGAGACTCTGTCTGCAACAAATTATACTTGCAAGTTCTTGTGTTATGTCCAAGCTTGTGGCATCTACTGCAACTTAAATATTTTTGCTTCCTCTTCGCTTTTGTCCTACTCGCGCCCACTTCATCTAATTATTTTCTTCTTTTCTTTTGTTTTCTCCCTTTACTACTTTGTCTTACTACTCTGGGAGGCAAAGGAGGAATATTCTCATGTTGCGGCCACATACTTTGACCATTCATAGGAAGAATAGCAAATTCATAGATCCTTCTATAAGTTTCCACCTTATAACAATCATCAATATACGAACTGATTTCATCATTTTTAGCCCAAATTGCTGATATAGCATGTTTACAAGGTAGCCCTGTCAAATTCCATTTTCTGCAACTGCATTTTCGGTTTAACAAATCTACGGCCCAAATGTCAATTATGCTAGCTCCTATAAGCTCATAGTTCCACTCATTTGATTTTCTAGGAATATATTCAGCAGCAGCAGCTTGACTTTTGCACAATACATTTTTAATTCTGGGGCAAATATCATCAGAACTCCACTTGACAGATTTATCCCTATTTGCTTGTATTCTTGTCATGAGCATATACCGAATTTTCTCCAGAAGAGTGATAATAGGCTTATCTCTTGCATCCAATATCATGCTATTAAAACATTCACATATGTTATTCACTAAGGTATCACATTTTGCATCTTCGGAGAAGTGAGATTTAGACCATTCACTAGGTGACTTATCTCTCAACCAAATAGCAGCTTCGGGATCCAAATCAAATATTTCAACCATGCGTTCATCAAACCAACTTACTGTTGTCGCACTAGCAGCTTTCCAAAGTGCATTTCTTAGTGTGTCACCACAAAATTCGGCCCTTTTGAAATTACTATGCAAGTGTCTAACACAAAATCTATGAGCGACCAAAGGTAATATATCATTAAATCCTTCTATTAGACCTTTTTGCTTGTCTGACATGAAGGTCCAGTGAGCTCCATCATCGATCTCCAAGTCAAGCTTTAGATAATCCAAAAACCATGCCCATGACTCACGATTTTCTTTCTCCACAACTGCATATGCTATCGGATAGATATTGTTATTAGGATCAAGCCCAACAGCAGTTAACAATTGAGTCCCATACATCGGACCCTTGAGCCAACAACCATTCACTCCTACTATCTTTCTACAACCACTCTTGAATCCTTTCTTGCAAGCACTAAAACAAATGTAAAATCTCTGAAATCTTTCAGGCTTGCAGGATTTTTCATTTTCAACCAACTTCATATAAACAGAAGTATTTGGATTTGTCCTCACTATTTCATTGCAATAGTTCCACAATAGCTTGAATTGATCAAAGATATCTCCATCGATTATTGCAATTGCCTTCTTTTTTGCCCTTCTACATTTAGATAATGTCACGTGTGCTCTTAACTGAATACTAACATGATCTCTAAATTCAGAGATCTTCCAATTCCTGTTTGTTTTTATGGCATCAAGATATTTTCTAGCAATGAACGAAGATGTGATGGTTTTGTTAACATGGTTCCAATTTTTGCACTTGTGGGTCGGATTGTATGTCTTTACTTGAAAAGCACAATCTCTATACATTTTAGAAGCCATAATCTCCCAATCACAATCTGGATGCTTTGCACAAACTGCTCGTATCCTTTCCTTATCATTCTTACGCCATTTTATATACTTTCCTTGACCGACTTCATGAGTTATCACAGCATTCTTGAACTCTTTTTTACTTTTAAATATCAATTCAAGTGTCAGGATAGGATACAACCCATCTGTATTTGGGTTGAACACAGTTAAGTTCATATCATCTGAATTAGAATCACTTTCTAAGCTCTTGAACCCTTCAGAGTTAACACAATCAGAATCTCCATCTTCATGAGCCATCTTTTTTCGCACTGCTTCGCTAACTTCATATTCACGTGTCCCATTTTCACTCCTTTCTAAAATATCATGTTCATCTGACAAATCATTATCCGAGTCTTCAAAATCATCATCACTTGAAGAATATTCAGCCCTTCCCTCTTTTCTATTCTGTTCAACATTGTTGCTGATATCCATTCCAATATAGGAATCTAAATGTTCAAAGTAAACCTCAATTACTCTATCTCGAGGGATGTTTCTGAATACTAAATTAGCTTCAAAATCAGTTGAAACAAGCCTCATTTTTTCACCGAGTCTACCATAATTGTGCCAAAATGCGACTGACTCATTATCATATCCACATATCTCAGCCATTTTCTTGAATTGAGATAACTTTATTTCTGAAACATTAACATGGTCAATGAACTGGACACGACCCCCAAAATAATGTTTTTTAGGCGGGTGCTTCATAAAACCACCGTGGGTTACTTTCATGCTGATTTTTAAGGCATCGTGTATAGAATCTATAAACGAAAATAATTTTCTTTAAAAATTGATATTTTCTTTTCTACAACAAAATCTCTCACAAATAAAAACTTGAACTCTAGAAAACTTACCATACGAAGGAGCTGTACCACCTTCTGGTCGTAGAATCATTGTCTTGAGCTTTCACTAATGGCCAAATCTGAAATGAATCTAGGGTTTTCTTGACTTAGTGTCTCACAATGAAGAAAAGAGGAAGGAAAAAGAAAATTGAGAGAGAGAGAGTGTACTGAACGATGTTTGTTGACGATTTTTATAAAAAGTGGATGGAAACCAAACTTGACAAAAAGGTGAATAGTTAAAGGACCATATCCGTCAACTGTATAGTTAAAGGACTATTTTAAACCTACTAGGATAGTTTAAGGACCATTTATGTCATTTGCTCACCCATTATATAGGCATGAACTAGAGTTTAGGGTTGAGTAGCCTTCATGAATTCTAACTGGAATTGAACACACGTAGAATCCCACCTCGAATCGAACACATCTTATAAAGTCCCACAAAATTTCAATGTTTACACTAGTAGCTCCATGATGGTGGAGAGGGAGAAAAGAATATTGACTACCTCCTCCATTATATTTTTTAACAATACTTTGAAAATATCTCAAATAATTTTGATCATTTGTTTCCATAAATGCAAAGGCAGTGAAAGCAATGAATGTTAAGAATGAACCATCTGGCATGTGAAGCTTCAAAAGCCTTTTCCAATCCAAGTCATGAAATCCTTCTAGTGAAAAACAATAATGTTGTTGGAATTGTAAGCACAACATCCTTGGGAATTCTGTAAAAACAAAATGTATTATTTATCATTTAATTTCTTAACCATTGTTATTAAATATTGTTAATTTAACTACCTCATTAATTCATAACACGATCATTACCATTCTTGATCATCATCATCATGACTATAACAAACAGCAATCATCATCAATCACCATTATATATCACCATCCATCGTCATATTTGTTAACATCATTAACTATCACTATCATCCACCATGTTGTCATCCATCCTACTTTAATTTTGTCTTTTTTTGGTTTTTTTCCTTTATTTTTGTTATCTTTTGTACTTTTGTATATCTTTTTAATATACATTTTGAACTATTAACTTAACAGTTTCTACTCCTCATTGAGATACATGTTTGTTCGTGAGTTTTTGTAATATTTCAGTGTGTGGCAAGCACTGCTCATCTAATCCTTTATTATTACTAAGAAATTGTTGTTGTTGTTGTTGTTGTTATTATTATTATTATTATTATTATTATTATTGTTATTATGATTACGGAAAAGGGTCAAAAATATCCTTGAACTATATGAAAAGGTCTAAAAATACCTTCCATCCAACTTTTGGTCTAAATGTACCTTATCCTCATCTTTTTGGTCTAAAAATACCCTTCCATTCACCTTTTAGCTCACTTATATCCTTGAAACTAACAACTCTATCTTTATTTTGTTTTTAAAAAAAAATATTTATTATGTGTCATTCTTCTCATTGGATGAAACAAAATCTCCATCTCAACTAGATTTTCCCCCATAATTTATCCAAGCCAAAAAGAATATACTTCTTCAAGACCTCAATTTTTATTTTTATTTTATTAAAAAAATCTAATAGTTTTTTATATTTGTTGTAGCTTTTTTTTATCTGACTCCTCACAATTTTTTTCTCTATTTTTCCCAAGTTATTACTTGGATTGAAGACACATGGCATAAGGAAAAATTATCAGCTAAGATTTAATCAATTACATTAAAATTTTAAATACGATATAAATAATTAATATATCATAAACAAATTAATAATATTATGATCATATTAATATTATCTTATCCATAATATATTATATTTTTTCTCTCTTTTCCTATTTTTTATTTTTCCTACAGGCTACGACCTACATGTCACACCCCGAGCCTACACCCTGGACATGGCTGACACTCGAGAACCATTGTTGGCCCCAAGTGAACCCTTGGTGTGGCTTAACTCATAGCGGAAGACTTAAATAATAGGAAAATAGTCTCAAAAGATAAACTCATGAAATAACTTAGAATGTCTTGAAAGAACATTCAACTAGCCAAAATGGCAACTCAAGGTTCAACATAAGCCAATAACAAGATAATAAAAAATGAACTAACTAACTCTCTATGAAGCCTCTAACAACTGAGATGGGCGTCGGGACAAGACCCACGACATCCTAATGAACTAACTAATAAAGCAATAAAAAGGGATCCTCCGGAAGCAAGGAGGCTCACCAACAACTCTGAAGCTCAACTAGAATCAACGATGCGTTGGATGCTGATCCTGGTTACCTGTATCTGCATTATGAAAAGATGCAGGCCAAATGACATCAGTACATTGAATGTACGAGCATGCGAGGGTAATTCTAAAACAAGACATAAGCTTGAAAGGAACTAAAAGAACATACATGGGATCAACTCAATTCAACTCAACTCAACTTAACTCATTTCAATATAAAGCAATAATATAAATGCAATATAAAGAAAAGCTTTTAAAATATGGATAACAACTTTGTGTATTTAGAAATACAACAGTAACTCTGTATGTATGCAAAGATACATTATAAACTCTGGATGTATATAAAAATACAATTAACTTTGTGTATATAAGAATACAAAATACTTCTGTAGGAGTTTCTCTAACCGACAACCAACACTTTAGAGCTATGTAATGATACAGCGTTTTGTCTCACGCTGCCAGGGCTGTCCTATACCTTGCCAAGGGCATAGAACCTAACTACTAAGTAGTCTATGCTAAAAAGCACTAAGGAATCATCTAAAAAGTATGACCCTTTTCAACCCATGATGGCTACGTGGTTTATGGGGGCTGGGAGTTGTCTGAACTCTCCCCCATATCAGTGCTCAATACTACTCCAAAATATACTAACTCATAATGTTAAAAAACATAACTTATTTCTATGGTTTGAGATAATTGCTCAAAACTTAGCACAAAGGCTCTCTTGGAAATCAAAGTTTCCTCTCTTGCTTAATTGTGAAAGCATTTACTCTTTACTCGAAAAACTAGCTCAAAGGCTCTGTTGAAAATCGGTGTTTCCTTTCTTGTTCAAATGTGAAAATATTTACTCCTTGGGAATACATAGTCCTGATATACTCTTTTGAAGAAATGAACTTCAATCTTTACTTTTTACTCAACTCAAAACGCAAGTCTTAAAACAAAGTTAAAACATTTGTAAAAAACCTTTGGAAGACTCTATGAACTTCTCTTGACTTGACTCTTAACTTTCCTTGAATTGAATTATGGATTCAAGGCTCATGAGCTCATTTTATGGATGATTTCATGTTGTTTAGGCATACCTTATAGTATAGAAATCAACTAGAAAACATAGGTACGTTTCAAGGGAACTCAAACGGAAAGAAGTGGGAAAGAGTAAAAGAAATGGTGTCCCTGACGCTTTGAGTGGCGCGGGGCGCCAGACCCAAAACTTCAGACATTGGCTTAGGGAGCACTAGCTGGCGCGGTGCCCCAGAGATCAAACTTCAAAGCCTGATGCGGGGCCCTCTGAGTGGCGAGGCTCCCCACCCCTTTTCCCCAGATTTTTGACGAATTATCTTGGTTGTTTTTCAACTCTAAACCCTCTAGATTCAATTGGTTCTTTCCCAAAACACTTAGATTCGACTACATAACCAAAACATGCAAGAATCTACTCAAAATGACATCTAATTTCATGAATTTAACTCAAGAACTTCTCAACAACTTCAACAATCAAGAACCCAATAGAAACTTCAACAAAATCCATCAAGAACTCACAATTTCTATACTTTCAAGAACATAATTTCACTGAATTAAATCATGATTGACGCATGGGTGAACGAACCCAACGCTATGTGATCTCACATACCTCGTAGGGATCAATCCTTCGTGAAATCCACAAGATTAACTTCAAGAACGCGATGAATCCTTGCTTCTCCTCCTCTTTTCTCTTCTTCTTTTCTCTTCTCTCAAAACTCTAACTTAATTTTATGAAGCGTAAACTGAACCAATTCAGTTTAGACCCCAACTTAATTACCAAAAACGATTTTAATTAATTGGATAGTGAAAAGACCATAATACCCTTCTAAAATCCAGTTTTGACTTTCCTTATCTAGACAACCCAACTTCAAATGGGCATATCTCCCTCATACGACCTAGAAATCGAGCAAACTCAGTGGCGTTGGAAAGATAATTCAAATATCTTTCCTACGGTATCTTGTAGCACACCTAACTCATTTTGAGCTAGGATTTAAGGTCTCTTGAAGTTGACCCAAAACTCATACTTAGCTTAACTTTGTCAAAATTTCCAAATTTGATTATTTCCAAAAACGGTTTCTTTCTAATTCTTGTTCTTTCTAGTTCTTTCAAATAGCGAGGTGTTACACTACAACATCTATATTTTTTTTCTTCTTTTCAATGAGTTGTGACTAGAGGCGTATTCAGGATTTCGGTAAGATGGGTGCACGATTACGAAAAAATGCTTCTTAAATATAAATTTGATCAGTTTGACTTTTAGGTTCTTAATATGAACCATTAATTTTAAAAATTATAGGTCCAAAATATATAATACTACTAGTTTTAAATTTTAATATACACATTTGATTTAATTATATAAAAAAAAACTATAGCTAAATTTTTTTAAGAATTTTCAATGTAACACACTTGAAAATTTTGAAAGATTTAAGAAAAAAAACAAAGAAAAATTAGTTGAAACGCCAAAAAGTGTAACCGATAACCACTTGGAGAGGTGTTACTCAAAAACAGAAGATAGCTATAAGATTTAAATTTCTATCCTCACTCAGAGAGGTGCACCCTATCATCATCATATTATT